GGAAATTTCATTAATAAACGTCATGGGGATTCATCATGTTGGACAGATGAATGGGTGCATTCAATCATGTCCTTATCTATTTTGTAGGGATTGTATTTTGACCACACTTTGACTTGATCCCACCTAAATCAGTGGGACTCATAGAAAAGATCATTTTCCTCAACGTATTTTGTTATCGTGCAAAATCTGTGAGTTAGAAAACTGTTGCTTTTATCAAATATGCAGTTTCAGTTACTTAACTCTTGTTTGTTATAGAACAGAAAGGAATTTAATTCTGTTTTAATTTCCTATCTAAAAGCTGCTTTTTCACAAAAACAGGTCAACAACGCTCTCAGCCGCTCACACTTACCAGCGGTCTCATCAGCACTCTCCCCTTGGTTGCGTCCACTCAAGTGACCGATGCTATCGCCAACTTTCTCATCGTGGACCTCCAGCCGCCGTCTCTCGTGGAAGGTGAAGGCTTCAGAAAGCTGATTCTCGCACTGCTGCCTAATTACAAGGAGCTGCCATTGTCCTGTCAGCTCGAGAGTCTGCTGACGGACCACCACGCCCGAGGCAAGGCGAGCCTGGCTCGGCTGCTCAGGAGGAAAAGTGAGAGCGGAGAGAGCGAGGAGGTTAGGGACTACACTGCTCCCATTGAGTTCGAGCACAGGAGACGTGGGCGAGCTTCCAGCAGTCAGAAGGAAGTTCCTTACTTTGTGACGTTGAGCGTAGAGGTTTGGCTCCACAACTGGCAGGGAAACACTGAGAGGTACCTCACGCTCTGGGCGCACTACGTAGACAGTAGCTTTAGCTTTCAGAACGTTGCTTTGGCGACCCAGCGGCTGACAGAGAGTGGTGGGGAAGAGCACGCCGTCCGAACGGTGGAAGCCCAGGTGAAGGCGATGGCGCACGAGTGGGGAATCTCCCAGCCTAATCTGATGTTGCTGGGAGGCGAGATAAGGAACAAGATGAGGACACAGCCAGTAAAGAGCAAGAAGGGGGCAGAGGTCGCAGGAAGCGCCTCCCACCCGAACTCAACAACGTTCCTAGAGAGGGAAGACTCTGTGTCGCCCGGGGAGCCGGAGCACGCTGACAGTAGTGAAGGACTTCCGTCTGTCCCTTGTTTCTTCAGAGCCGTGCAAGACTGTGTGGAGGAAGTGATGTCACATCCCGTCGTCTCCAAAACTCTCAGCCAGTTCCAGAGTTTTCTCTCCACCCTGTTCTTACCAGTTGCTCAGAATAAATGCTCATACCAGCCTCATACCCAGAACCTCCTCAAAAGTCTGACGAAACAGGAGCGTGCCAGACTTGCGTCGTGGGCACACAGCCAGCCAACCTGGAATAACCTTTACACTTTACTGAGCATGCTCATCAGACACAAAAGCCTCTTTTGCTGTGTGATTAAAGAAATAAAAGGCGAGGGTTTGTCCAAAGAAGATTGTGCTTCAGAGTCCAGTTCAAGTGGCAGCTCCCACGCCAATTCCACCTCCAACACATCCTCTGCAGGTGTAACGTCTTTGCGCTCTGAATGGAAGGTTCTGGAGGAGCTCTGCTCAGTCCTCAAACCTCTGGACGTGGCGTGCCGGACTCTCGCCAAGGAGGCGTTCCCCCGACTGTCCCTC